CCCCAAAACCCCAAAACCCCAAAACCCCAAAACCCCGGGGTTAAAGGGACTGGTTGAATTATTCCTCAAGTGTCTGTTTTAGGATAGTGTATTGGGTGTGGAAGCCTTTTGAGAGGTTGGTTACTTCTGTAGAGGAAAGGTTACCTCCGATGTCGAGATATTGGATGTTAGTGATTAGGGTTTGGTCGTTTAAATTAGGTTGGAGAAGGACAAGGTCTGATCAACTGCTGGCTTCTATAGGTTTTCTGAACTTTTCACCATGATCTTTGGTTCAGTAGCCAATGATAGCAACACTTCCGTTTGTCAGCTGGATTTCACTGTTGCAGATTACCATATCTCTCTGACTGATATTGAAGTTACCTTTAAAATATCAAGTTGATAAAATACCTCTCAATTTTTGATAAAGAATCTGAGATTGGTTTCCTAAATCCTTTATCACTTTTATCTCCTTCAGCTTTGGAAAGACATCTAGCTTTGTTTGGAAGTCTTGAATCGTCATAGCTCAATAACTGATAGGTTTGTCTACAGTAAATACTCTTTTCATTCTAAATTCAGATCTATATCGGGATAATTAGGATTATTTTCTGGGTGGACGTTCACCAAAATTTAATACAAAACATCGAATTTTGGTTGGAAAACTATCCATACTTTGAATCTTGAGGGAGGGAATATAACTCAACTCCACTTTCGTTATTAGTAAGTGTCCAAGGTTGGCTTCTTATATCTCCATCTAAGAGTATCGCTAGCTCTCTTCCCTTAAGTACAAGTTTTAAATTATCCGGATCATCCATAGTATCTTTCTGCACTGGTTCTTGGGGCATATAATGAACTATAGACTCTGGATCATCCTCAGGATTGTATATCTCCTTCATACTATCTGCTCCAGTGGTATCATCTCTCATATCCTGCCCCTTTTTCTTGCCTAAATAATGCATAAAGCACATTAATTTTACCTTTATTTTTGCGTTTAGTCTTACTTTTCTTCCTCTTCTTATTTTTCTTTACTTTTGACTTATGAATTCGTTCTATGTCTACCTCTTCATCTTTCATGGCAGCGTCATTATAATTACAAAGAGAGTTGCCCATGGCTGATTTATTTTATATTTCAACTAAAAATTCCCTTTGAGGGGTTTTGGGGTTTTGGGGTTTTGGGGTTTTGGGG